TAGAGAATAGATCGTTTGTTCCAACCGTTAGTCACAATGCAAAATGAGTAAGTGCACGTCAAATCCGATCTGAAAATCAATCCGACTCTTTAATAAAATAAACTATTGGGTTATAATTAGCGTCATTAATCAATAGTACTTGCAATTCATTGAAGCCTTTCTGTTCCGTCATGTATTCCTTTAGAGTTTTTAGACAAAGGGCAGCGCCGGTCTCAAAAAATCTTTGCTTTAGAAATTTTGCCACGATCCCTACTCAAAAATTAGCATTTAGGAGTATCAATGTTTTCAATAGCACCAAATTAGAATCTTACTACAATCGTAGTGAAAGACGTTACAGCATCTTGACTACACCTTCCGAAGCTAAGTTGTATGATTACAAAGATGTAAAGGATGTTGTTGATCATCCCGCAAAGCATCCTGACTCCGTTTTAGTCGATGTCAGAGAACCTGTTGAGTTCCATGACGGACACATTCCTGGTGCCCTTAATATTCCTTTTAAATCGTCACCTGGTGCATTAGACTTATCTCCAGAAGAATTTGAAGATAATTTTGGGTTTGATAAGCCATCCAAGGAAAAAGAATTAATCTTCTATTGTTTAGGAGGTGTTAGATCTACAGCCGCTGAAGAATTAGCCAAAACTTTTGGATATAAGAACAGAGGTAACTATGTCGGCTCCTACGAGGATTGGGCTTCCAAAGAGAATGCCAAGGGTGAATCAAAGCCAGTATCCTAAGTCGATTTGAAAACAGATGAAGATGCCATTTATTTTTTTCCCTTACTATGAAATTCTTGTACATTTTTCACTGCATTTATTTTCTTAAAGATTTTTTTATCAACACTGATACAACGCTCTTGTGACATAGGTAGTATATACGCAGATTCATCTTTTGGCTTGAAAATTTTTTTATTTTGACATTCATCCGACAAAGATTGTTGTTTAATTAATATTTGTTTAATGCTGACTAAGAGTTTATAGTCTATAGATAATATATTCTTCTATGTATTTGAATCTACAGTCGGGGCCTGAATTCCAACTCCTTAAACTCTTTACCCAACCTTCTCTTTCTTTTTCTTTCCATGACTTTTTCTCTTTGCGATACCTTCATGTTATCAAATTTCGCTTTGTTAATTAGCTTTCGCTTTTCACTCTTCTTCAAGAAATAGGGCGATGATTGCTTCCCCTCCTTAAAGTTTTTCATCTGTTGTTGCTTGTGCTTTGCAAGAATTTCGTTTTCAATGTCTCTATTGTTCAAAGTGTCTAATCTTGATTTTAATGACTGCATTTCCAACTTTAAATTTTCTCTTTCTCTATCGCTCAAAATCTGTGCCGACTTTTTATTCTTTAATATGCTATTCATTTGATTTATCTCCTTTTCTCTGTATTCATCCAAAAATGCGTAATTCTTTCGAACTTTTGCTAAATCTGCCTTTCCATAAGCAGGATCGAACCTGATATCTTCATGCAATGTTCCTGAAAACCTCGAAGGTAGACCTTGGATATCTCGTATACGGGATACAGGTCTTTTTGTTGAAGACTCTTTTGGTGCATGCTTTGACTTCTTTCCCAGACGTTTTGACATCGTCTCTTCCGGACCCGAATCGCTATCAGATTCAGATTCAGATTCTTCTCCAATTGACACAAATCGCTTGCTTTCTCCAGTTGCATCGATTCTGTTTCTTTTGCTGGTGCCTTCATCTTCCATATCTTTGTATATTTTCTCCAGCGCATCTTTTAATCTTCCGAAGGACATACGTGAGAGCTCATCATCACTATTATCGCTTCCTCCAGTACCTTCTTCACTCTCACTTTCAAGCTCTTCATCGTAAAATGAGGGTCTGACTCTTTCGTGTTTGTTCATCCCTAACGTGCTACTTATTACGTCTTCCGTACTATATTGCACTCAGCGAGCCCTTTGAGATGAGCTATGAGAACTCATTTGAGAATATACAGGACCGGTAGAGCATGATACAAAGAGTGGTAGATGCGACTCATTTTTGTACACACTTTTAAATTTGTGCGATTTCCATTTGTGTCATATAGATCGCCGGGTGTATTCTTGTGGAAAAACTTTGTTTACCGAGAGCGCTCACCAAATCGTAAGGTCTCCCCCGCGATCGCTATTCCTTCGAACGGCCAGAGTCGGAAACTCCAAGGTTCTACAATACGTGGTCTCGCAAAACCTCCGATATCGACCATATGCCCGTAAATGCTGACATAAGCTTACCCGGTAATTTAGTGTCCGAGGACAATCAATATGAAGCTTTTCAGTTCCAGCCAACTGTTCACCGCCAACACAGTTCTCTCAGATTCGAATTAGACGCTTGAATTTCAAGGAAAATTTGCAAGGGTGTACAAGTATTAGAACTAAAACTTTAAGAATGTTGACCAAGACTGTTGCACGTATTTCAAGAGTAAGTAGAAATCTAACAGAAGGCTTGATTCCACATGGCGGGGACAGAATTGAAATCAAGATAAATTACATATGGTACCAGAATACAAAATTTTATGGAACATTGAGCTACTAATGGCTTGAGAGTGAAGTAAAATTGTCTAAGGTTTCGGATGGTAGATTTATATTGCTAGTTCTCTATTGCTGTGACGATGATAATATGTTTAAGGCTATGAAATCACAAATTGCCTCAAATGATAGCTAAGAATATTACTAACTTATTTCACTAGGGTATAATTCAGCAAAAGAGATCTTTGTCTTTGCATGAATTCCGTTCGGCTGCATTATTGAAGTCTTATGGAGTTGGTGTACCAAATGGCGAGGCAGCTACAACTCCGCAAGGAGCTTTTGATGCTGCTAAGGATTTGGGCACTGATAAGTTGGTCATAAAGGCTCAAGCTTTAACTGGAGGAAGAGGTAAGGGTCACTTTGATTCTGGATTGCAAGGTGGTGTCAAGTTAATCTCATCTGCTGAGGAAGCTAAGGATTTAGCTGAAAAGATGTTGGGTCACAAATTGATCACCAAACAAACTGGTGCAGCAGGTAAGAAGGTCACTGCTGTATACATCGTCGAAAGAAGGGATGCCAAGACTGAAGCCTATTTAGCGATTTTGTTAGATAGACATTCTCAATTGCCAATGATCGTCGCTTCTGCTCAAGGTGGTATGGATATAGAAGGCGTTGCTGCTAAAGATCCAGATGCAATCAAGACTTTTTCAATCCAATTGGATGAAGGAGTGACCGATAAGTTGGCAACAGAGATTGCTTCCCAATTGGGCTACACCGAAGAAGCTGTTCCCGAAGCAGCCAAGACTGTTCAGAATTTGTACAAGGTCTTCATGGAGAGAGATTGTACTCAAGTTGAAATCAACCCATTATCTGAAACGCCAGATCACAAGGTATTAGCTATGGATGCGAAGTTAGGCTTTGATGATAACGCTGCATTCCGTCAAAAGGAAGTGTTCTCATGGAGAGATCTTTCTCAAGAAGACCCAGATGAGGTTGAAGCCTCTAAGTATGGTTTAAACTTTATCAAATTAGATGGTAACATTGCAAACATTGTCAATGGTGCAGGTTTGGCTATGGCAACTATGGATATCATCAAATTATATGGTGGTGAGCCTGCTAATTTCTTGGACTGTGGTGGTACTGCCACTCCTGAAACAATTGAAAAGGCTTTCGAATTGATCTTGTCTGATAAAAAGGTAAATGGAATTTTCGTTAACATCTTTGGCGGTATTGTTAGATGCGACTACGTTGCTGAAGGTTTAATTGCTGCTACAAAGAATTTCAAGTTAGATATCCCAGTCGTTGTCAGATTGCAAGGTACGAATATGACCAAGGCTAAGGAATTAATTGAAAAGTCTGGATTGATGTTATATCCATTTGAAGATTTGGATCCAGCTGCTGAAAGAATCGTTTCATTGGCACCACCAGTAAAAGCATGATTTGCTTTTAATCTGTGTAGACGTAATTTATATATCATTGTGTCGTACGAGCTTTTTAGTACGCTTTATTATGTATTCTCGATATTAAACCTACGGATTTTGTAGTGAGAGTGCAAGATCCTGTATACAACTAAAATAAACAGCTGAGATTATTGCCACTCGACAGTTTACTTACTGAAAAGAAGTACGGAGTCAAATACACAGGCGACCTGAGTTAAAGTTCAAGATCATCGTTTCATTAATTCATGTACCATTGCTATGTTTTTAACCAGAAGTGAATATGATAGAGGTGTTAGTACGTTCTCACCAGAGGGTAGGTTGTTTCAGGTTGAGTACTCATTTGAAGCAATTAAATTAGGTTCAACAGCAATTGGAATCTCTACATCAGAGGGTGTAATTTTAGGAGTTGAGAAGAAAGTAACCTCTCCTTTATTAGAGCATTCATCCATTGAAAAAATAGTAGAAATTGACAAACATATCGGATGCGCTATGTCAGGTTTGACTGCTGATGCAAGATCTTTGATTGATCATGCGAGAGTTTCTTCATTGAATCACAACTTGTATTATGATGAAGAAATACAAGTGGAAAGTTTGACTCAGTCTGTTTGCGATCTTGCCCTTAGGTTTGGCGAGGGTGCTAGTGGGGAAAAAAGACTCATGTCAAGACCTTTTGGTGTTGCGTTGTTAATAGCCGGAGTTGACAAAGACAAAGGACCTCAATTATACTATGCAGAGCCTTCGGGAACCTTTTATAGATATGATGCAAAAGCTATAGGCTCTGGATCTGAAGGTGCTCAAGCTGAATTACAAAATGAATATCACAAGTCTTTAACATTGAAGGAGGCTGAACTTCTAGCATTAAAAACTTTGAAACAAGTAATGGAAGAGAAATTAGATTGCAAGAACGCCCAACTAGCCTCCGTTACCGAAGAAGGCGGCTTCCAAATTTACAGCGACGAAAAAACTGATGAGATTATAAAAAATTTGAATGAGCTGCAAATTGATGAAGAATCCTAGAAAACTAAATAAAGTATATCACTAATATAAGTTTATATTTTTTCCGGAAAGTATGTTTCTAGTCTCTCACTTAAAATAAGAATCTGCTTATTTTCCGCCTCGCCGTAAGATTTTAGGGTCACAATAAACTCAGTTAACGAATCATCGAAGATTTCGTAATGATCCCTCAAGCTATCATTAAGATTCCTTATTCTATTATTAATCAGATCTTCATCCATTGTTTTGTTACTGAATCTATCAGGATAGTCTCTTGAGAATTCTGAAAATAATTGCTTATCGCATAGAATCAACCCTTTCTTCAATTTACTCAAGTAGTTATTAAACAGGATTAGAATATCAAACATATTTTTTAACACGCTTAGCAAATCGGGTCTAGTGATCAATGAATCATTCACTATGGTATTGAGATATTCATTCAACTTAGCGATGAAATTGTTAGTGTCAATTAATGATGATGCATTAGCAGTTGAATTGACTCGGTCACTTAAGTTTTGTCTGTTGAATAAATTAGTATTTTGACTACTGAAATTCGAATATGGGGCAGTCTCAAAAACCGACTTTCTCAGGTTCTCCTTTTTCATATCTGATCCTATCGCACTTTTCCTGAGAGACTCTTGGATCATCTCGATACGACGCCTGAGAAGACCATAATTTGTTTCAATCACATCAAAATCTATATAGAATTGAAGTTGGTCTATGAAGTCTCTCATTCGGGAATGAAGTACCCTGCATCGTAAAATCCATTTTTTTATACGCAACTCGAAAGCTGAATATTTCCAAACAGACGAGTGACAAATTTCATGCCACATATTGTTATTAAAAAGGTTTATGAATTTGATGATTATTTTCAATTTGAACATTAGCTCATAGTGATATGATAGTTCTCTATTGACAATCAAGTTCAACGGAAATGGCAAGTCAATTGTCAAGTCCACACTTGCGATTGCATATTCGTCTGAGTGATCAGGGTCATATAAGTTCGAATTGGAATCAGCAGACAGTATCTGGTTTCTTTCAAATGTTTTCGAAAGAAACGTTCTGAAGTTTGGGTCGTTTTGAAAAACTTTCTCGGTATCAAAAGATTCAACATTCATTATTTCCTTTGCAACGTCATAAAAATTGGTATTAGTAATAGCGAATTTTTGATTATAGTTCAAAATTTCCTTTATATTTGTCAGCACACTTTTTCCTCCAACCTTGAACTTCCGATGATTTTCAAATATCTCATCGTATGCTTTTTCCAACCTTGTGACCGATATTGAGTATCGATTTTTTCTCAATTCGTAAAATGCCTTCTCCAAAAAACAGTCAATATTAGTAGGATTATTGATTAGAAAAGTCGTTTGAAATGACTCAATAAGGCCAGTTAAGTTATAACCTTCAAAGAGAAGCTTCATTAGAAGCTTATTGGCCCGTTCATAAAAAAGTTCAATTTTCAATTCTAAATCTTGTGAAAATATTTTATTTATTGGGTCTAAAATTTCATTCAAAGATTGAAAGTTTTCCATGCCAGTACAAGCTTTAAAAATATTCAAAAACTTTCCAGTATTCAATATTTTGTGCTGAATCTCTTTACTTTTAAATTGACCAATGAGTCCATCTGATCTAATCACGAAAAGTTCGTTCCAGTAGTGTTCACTCGTTGGACCTAAAACCTCGGAAAGATTTGACGGTACTTGTTTTCTTCTAACTAAAAATTCATCAAACTGATCATCAATGTCTCCATTTATTAACCAATTATTAAGCATGACAACGTATTCTTCGCTAACAGAATCAAACAAGGACATTAGAAACGAGAGAGATAAAGAATCCCCTTTGTAAGCATTTATTCTGCCTTGAATAATTTCTAAAACTAGGCCACCCTTGCAGTATTCAAAATTTCCGCTGTTTATGGAGTCATCTATATTTCCTGTAGTTTTCAAAGATGATCTAATGTTATGAATGAAGTCCTCGAAAGGAATTTGCTTGCCTTTAAATTTGGATATTCGAGTAGCAGTGTCATAATGAATGGTTGTTACGATTTCGTAAATATGACTCAACTTATCTGATACCCTTTGGTTTAATACGTTTTCCATCACATTTAAATTAAATGCGGAGTTGAACTTAAATTCATGTTCGAGTTCGATTATTACCGATTGATATTCGTTTAAAAAGTCTGTTATAAGAAAACAGAGTTTTTGAACAACCTTACCGAAATTTTGATGATCATAGTATTCCAAAAACGCCATCAATCCAGAATAATATTTTCCATATCTCACTAATTTTTTAGTTATACTCTTCAAACTTATATCCAAGTGTTTGGCTATTTTGAAATCTGGACCCTTAATTCTTGATTCTATATTTGATTGATCAAATCTATCACTATATCTGATATAGTACCCGTCATACCCTAGAAGTGAAAAAAGTAAATCCTTGATGATTAAACCCTGTTGGATCTTTAAGTCACTAAGCTCGCTTAAAGGATGTGGTTTAGTTCTCTGATGCTTATGATGCTCCAAGACAATACAGCATCGTAAAATGTCTGGACTATTTAGCAATGTCACCTCATCTATCACTGGCTCTCCTATATTAGAGGATATGAAACTCGTCATACTACCCTAAAAGACAGTCTCAAATATGCCAATGTAGTAAACAAACAAATATCTAGCACGCGCCCCATGTCTCCAACCAAAAAAAAGTTATCTCTGATGCAGTCTATATTATATGAAGGACTGATTTGGGTTGATCTCACTCTTGACATCTAAAAATTCTATAAGTATTTATAAATTACATTTTGTAAGCTATACCACATATTTTGAGATATATATGTATATATATATATCTTAGGGTCAGTCAAGCCATTCCTGATCTTCATCATCGCTGAGCTCAAGGTCTCTTAATAACGCTTCAGAGGCCAACTCAGCTTCTTTTTGGACCTCAGCCAAACCACAGATACCTTCAAGATAGGTTGAATCATTAAGGCATTTTTCCACAAATTTCCACCCCTCATTTTCAAAATGCTCCAACACTGGTTGAGAACAAGCAGAGCAGTGTTTATAATTTGGCGCCAGTAGGAGTGTCTGATGAAAGTTATGTAAGAATCCTCTTATTTGATGTGGGACCAAACCTAGTTTACCTTCAGTGACTGGTGCTCTATCCTTGTCAGGATGTTGTATTAAAGAAATAAATAATTCCACGGCTAAAGCAGAAGCCATTAAAGCCACCCCTGGTCTAGTAACAGTGCACATTTGGTCTAGTGTTCTATCCGATAAGCTATCATTTGGAGCAACAACATCATTGCAATAATAGCAACCTAATCGTTCATGTTGTCTAAGAGTTCCATGTCTCATTACCAAAAATCCATCAAAACCCAACGCTGCATTTATAACTGTCTTGTTTTTTGCCAACCCCATTAATGTTGGAAGCCACCTTGACTCCCTGGAATCCATTAGCAAGAAAATAGCATCATGTTCGTCAAATAGCTGTTCGAGGAGCTTGAAGCTCTTTTCCAGACCTTCTGTAGCTGGATGCCCTATCATAGGTACTTCGAGGTTATACCCATTTGAAATCACGCCAGGGAAGACTTCGCCAACTGCTTTCGCAGCCCTTATTGCCTTGAGTTCACCTCTTCCTTCATCGCTAAAACAGTCTCTGAAATTAAACAAAGGCTGTCGCACAGGATTCGAATATGAAATCCTTCCATTATCAACAAAAGTAATCTTCCTTACACCCCATCCCATCAATGCCCTGGAAACATAGCTGCCAAGAGTTCCCGCGCCTAGTAATAATATCTTTTGGCTTTTAATGGCTGCGAGGTCCAAGTCGGGCGCGATTCTCCATTTCATCAACTTTATATTCAAATCTACCGCCTGCTCTGCTAGTTGGTGAGGATCTATCAAAGATCCTAGGTTAGCCATCTTTGGACCCATAGTTCCTTTGTTTGTTCTTTCCCAACCAGTAATCTTAGGGAGTGTATCTCGATCGAAGCCCTTGCTCAAAGTTAACTTCAATAAGAAGGAAAGATTGTTTTTCCTGTAAACAATGATGTCAAGCTCTGTATAGCCCTTGAACGCGAGAAAGTACAAATAATTTTTGAGCTGTGCTGAGGGCAATTGTTTGGGATTTAAGCATGAATCGATGAAAACAAAAGTCCCACTTCTATGATTCCCGATGCAATTCAAAGGAACTAAATTCTGTGACTGTAGTTGATAAAATTGCTGAAAAGTAGTGTCTAATTGGTCTTGAATAGATTCTTCTAAATGCAGATCGACATTATCTACCTTTTTGACAAGTTCCCATGGAGACAGAAACGTTGGAAAAGCAACCCAATAGTAAAATTTATATTTCTTCAAGTCAGAAAACGCCAATACAAAAAATTTGTTAAAAGTCTTGAAGTCAAGGTCATTGGAAGTAATTTTATCGTAAATTGCCTGCCCCCCTCTTTGTAATAATTTCTGCTTATCAAGAGATTTAAATTCATCAATAGTATTCACATTTAACAAAGTACCATCCAAATATATGTTTGTCGGATCCTGAGTATCATGTGCTTCAAAACTGCTATGATCTAGGATTATAGTGGGCACATCATTAAACTTATTTAACTTCTTTGGGTGTGTCATAAAACATGTCAAGTTAGTTTCAGAGGCATCAAGCTTGAATTTATCGAGTTTTAATTCAGACAACTTAGTGAAAAATGAAGATTCAACGAATGATTGAACCGGAATATACTTCATCTCTGTCTTATTTCTTCAGAAGTTGATTTTATAAATCCCAAGACATAATCTACTCAAAGGTGTCTACGACTGATATCATTTATATATATTATATGCAGTATATTATAATCATGATTATGTATGCAACTTTTCGTCAGTTGGTCCTAGAACCGAAAAAAGCGAACATATTTAATTTAACCATCTAAAGTCATTTCATCAATTTCATCCAACAACTCATCGACATTGAATTGAGGAGCATCTTCGTCATCTTCAATTTCATCGTCATCTCCATTTGTAACATACTGATTCTCACCTGCTTTGTACATATTCACAGTTTGCCTCAATTCTTCATCTTCTTCCAACTCTCTAAGGAAAATTTCATAATCTCTTTCTGCTCGTTCTTGATCTTGTCTAGCTTGCCTTGACTCAGTATTTGCGATAATATCATTATGTTCCCGTGCCATTCTTTTCAATTTCCATTGTCTATTCTTTGATTTACGAGATTTTCTTGGATAATGTTTCTTGACTAAGATTACCTCTGGGGCATTATCTGTATCTAAAGTATCCCACAATTCTGAATTGATGTTAGAATTGGTTAAATAATAACCGAGACACGAGTCTCCTGGATGCAAAATTGCACCAAGGTGCGACCTCACGTAAAAGGAATTATCGTTAGAGCCCAAATCGCTATCCCTAGTAACTGTTATATCTGCCAAAACATGCTTACCTCGAATATCACCTGTTGGCTCAACGTCCAAGACAATAAATTCAATGAGTTGTGTGACATCCAACAATGATGGAAATGCGGATCTCCAATATGTAGCAGCATTCAAATCTGCAGTTTGAAGTGTCGCAGGATCTAAGAACTGAATCATGTTGGAAATCTTCAGGCATAATACCAAGCGAGAAATGTTGCCCATAGAATTGGCCAACTTCTTTGGGATGACCACTAAGTCATCTCTGCAAATCGGAGCTATTTCAACTGAAAATGTAAACTTGTAAGACGATGACCCAGAATGGATATTTGTACTCACTAACTCCTCAGATTTTTTTGCTTTGATCGGAGCAACTGCGGATAAAAAATCCATCATTTTTGTAGCATGATTTCTTTGAGAATAGAAAAAGTCCAAACCATCTTTCGCCTCTTTAATAGACACAGTATCAACGTGCGCATTGTGTTTTAAAATTAACTGTTCCAAGTACAAAAATGTTCTTTTGTGAGGGACTTTCTGTCTTACTTGAACAGAGGCTCTCCAAGTGTTCGCAGTATAAGACTTGGCACAGTCAGGACATTGCATGGCAATCACCACATACTCCACTTCAAAAGACTGTTGGACTATTGCATTTTCCATTGCTTCACCTTGGACCGTTATCTTCACTCTAATACGACGAGAGTGAGGTTCTGTCCAGATGAAAGATGCGTCGATCAATCTGATCTTATTCAAGCCTTTTAATCTTTTCAAACATAACGCTAATAGTTCCCTCGATTCAAGTTCTGCTTTAACCCACTGAGAAGGAGGATATAAGTACCTTTCACAGTTCCTGCAATATGATACGTTGGCCTCCCTAGGGATGCCTTGCGTGATATCGACCGTAAGCTTGATACAATCATAGCACATCACCAAACCTTTGGAACCATCTATTGGAGCCCCACAATTACAGCAAAGAACAGTTGCTGCTGTGGGAAAATTATCTTGACTACTGAGTGTTGTATAGTTCGACATGGTTCGTTGTTATTCCCTAAGAACTATCTACTCTCATTCAAAATGATTTAGTAAGCTTCTAATCCTAGAGAAAAATTTAAGGCCATCGCAAAACGAGAAATATCACGTGGTACTTCAATTACATAAGCATATACCTTTATATAAGTGATAGAGATATCTGAAGGAGAATTTCAGCATACTGTAGTACATCTGTATCCTAAGGTATCTTGGTGATTACCGTTATTGCAAAATGGTCAAAAGGAAAAGCGAGGCACAAATCAAGTCAGAAACTGATGAAGATGACGATGATGTACCATTGAGCAAAAAGGTGAAGACAGAAACTCAAATTGAAGAAGCAGATGACGACGATGGTCAAGCGGTCGATGGAAAAGAAGAAGATGATGATGAGAACGAAGATGAGGATAATAACAAAGAAAAAAGTGAGAATGGGAGTAAGATTAATGAGCATACGGATGAGAAAAATGAGCATGATGATGAAGATGACGACGCTGAAGAGGAGGCAAAGAGAATTACTACATTCAAGTTTCATGGCGTGTCATATTCTTTCAAAGAAAGGCCATCAGTCATTGAAGAAAGAGAGAATAAGATAGAATTCAGAGTTGTTAATAATGATAATACAAAGGAGAATCTTATAGTCTTAACGGGATTGAAAAATATATTTCAAAAACAGTTACCCAAAATGCCTCGTGAATATATTGCAAGATTAGTTTACGATCGCTCGCATTTATCTATGGCTGTAGTGCGGAAGCCTTTGACTGTGGTTGGTGGTATCACATATAGGCCGTTCAATAATCGAGAGTTTGCAGAAATCGTCTTTTGTGCAATTTCATCTACTGAACAAGTTAGAGGTTATGGTGCTCATTTGATGAACCATTTAAAGGATTATGTTAGAGCCACATCACCAATTAAATACTTTTTGACATATGCTGATAACTATGCAATTGGATATTTCAAAAAACAAGGTTTTACGAAGGAGATAACTTTAGATAAATCTGTCTGGATGGGATATATCAAAGATTATGAAGGGGGAACGCTAATGCAATGTGAAATGTTACCTTCTGTATTAAGATATCTAGATCTGGCCAAGATACTACTCCTCCAGAGAGCGGCGATAGAGAAGAAAATTAATGAAAGATCGCAATCAGATGTAGTTCGCCCAGGTTTACAAGTTTTCAAGACAAACAAAAATATTAAACTAGATCCTAAAGAAATTCCAGGCTTGCTAGAGAGTGGCTGGCTGGAGGAGATGGATAAATTGGCCCAAAAGCCCAAACGTGGCCCACACTACAACTTTATGGTTTCTTTGTTGTCTGAAATGACGAATCACCCTTCAGCTTGGCCCTTCGCCGTTCCCGTAAATAAAGACGAGGTTGGAGATTATTATGAAGTTATTAAGGAGCCTATGGACTTATCAACTATGGAGCAGAAACTTGAAGCGGACAAATACGATTCCTTCGATCAATTTTTGTACGATGCTCGTTTGATATTTAATAATTGTCGTTCATATAATGCTGAGTCGACCACCTATTATAAGAATGCAACAAAATTAGAGAAGTTTTTGAATGGTAAGATCAAAGACAATGCAGAGTATGCTCATTTTCTAGATGGAAAGTGACACATATACGTGTATATTAAATGGTAATAATGAATCATAAGTTTTCAAGTCGTGTAGTTTTGTTCAAGCGTAGCGATCATTTATCGGCGATGGATGTTTCAATTTGATTGCTTAAATATCTCTTTATAGAGAATACAAAAATGGCACCGAAAGTTTATTCATATACAGAATCAATTGATGTTGCTAATGCTGTTGGCAATTACATTGTAGCATTGCAAGATGAAGCATTGAAATCGTCTTCAAAATTTAAAATCGCCTTATCGGGAGGCTCATTGGGAAAGGTATTAAAGAAGGCATTGATTGACAATAGTGAATTAGCAACTAGAGTGAAATGGGACTCCTGGGATGTTTACTTCAGTGATGAAAGGTTGGTACCATTGAATCACCCAGATTCAAATTATGGACTATTCAATGAGATGGTGCTCTCGAATTTGCCTTCTGGAGTGAGGAAGCCAAAAGTGAACACGATCGATGAAAGTTTACTTACAGGTAAAGATGGACAAGTGGAAGGTGCCGATAAGACTAAAGATTCGGAAATTGCAAAGATATATGAAAAAAGTTTACCTGAAGGAGCAAAATTTGATTTAATTTTATTAGGATGTGGACCAGATGGCCACACTTGCTCTTTATTTCCACATCATCCTTTATTAAAGGAGAGATCGGAACTTATTAGCTATATCAGTGATTCTCCAAAGCCCCCTCCAAGAAGAATTACATTCACATTCCCCGTATTAGAGAATGCTACATCAATTGCTTTCGTTGCGGAGGGGTCAGGAAAGGCTCCTATTTTGAAAGAAATATTCAATGATCCTAGCAGTCAATTGCCCTCAAAATTGGTATCTGGTTTGAAAACCGGTGTCAATATAAGCTGGTTTGTGGATGATAATGCAATCAAGGGGGTTGATATAATCACCTCAAAGTATTAATTGCAAAATTGACGAGATTACTTGTCTTAAAAATTTTATTACTATCATAATATAATCTATTTTACTAGTTCCGTAAAGCTTAATTGTAACTTGAATCAATTCATTCCCTTCATCTTAAATTTGAGAGCTCTTTTCCCAGTAAGTGACTAGAGACAATGCTAGTGCGACTTTTCGATATTTAAATCAATGTTGTATTTTACGTTATTTTACTAACGAGCTAGAAGACGGAATTAATATCATTCGTAGACATGGATATGGGTATGTGGTTTAATTGCGTAATGTGATTTCGATATACTAATCAAATTTTCTTTAGGTGTTGCACTTTGGCTTTGTCCCAAGAAACATACAACTACACATGAGATACTTACAACTCTAATGACTTCATTGCAAACTTTGTTTCCAGGACTGCCTCCTAGTTTTGAGCCTCATATTACAATCACTACAAATCTATGGGTAGACTTGGAAGATGCAGATAAGAGAAGAGATGATGTTAATAAAATTCTATCAGCAAGTGCCGTTGCACTTAATTCTATTCCAAAGGATGGTACCAATTTGGTCACCTTGGGAAAGGTGGATAGCCAAAGAAAATTTCTTAAAAAGTTGTACTTTAAAGCATACAGAGACCCTAAGTTGATTTCTTTTGCCCGAATTATTAGGGAATTGTTCGTCATTTTGCCCAATGATATCGAGCAAGAAAATATGAAACAGAATCCACAGCTATACACGTTGGATGAAGAAGGGAATTCGGTCAGAAGGCGACCACTGAAGAAGCGCAGAAGTCAAGAAACTGGCCAACCACCGAAAGAGTTTGACCAGACACAAATTAAGCAGGATGCTACTGTTAAGGCTGCAGAATGGGCTGTTACCGAGTACGACCCGCATTTATCGCTCGTTTATAGTGATCTCTATCCCATTGATAACGCCTTGTGGCGGACTATTAAGACGAGGATTCAAGATTACTTAAATATTGATAACTGCGATGCTGATTATTTGGAAGACAATGGTTTAGAATGGAATGGAGGTGTGTTGAAGTTGGTATTATGTGAAGGTGATGTTAATGAATGGGTGACGTTAGGAAGCGTTGACTTACATTAGGCTTCTTGGTATCAAGAAATATCTTAACACTGTAGAGATGCTGTAGAAATACTGTCAACTTTAATTCATTTAGACCACGTTGAACGAGATTTTTGCAATATTAATTCATATGTACGATGTCCTTAATTATTATTTACAGGTAATGAATGATCTAGCTAATGCTTGCTTTTATATCGGCAGTTCCAATAGGAACGGCTGCCAACTCTCCGTCAGAGTAGTGGGCTTTGAAGAATGAGTAATGCAATACGACATCATCGATGTTTCTCATTGCAGGGTCTTTGGCGAATTCAGGATCAATAAAAAAGAAAACAGGCATATCTACTTCTTCACCTGCGCTGAGTCTTTGCTCTTCGAAACAAAAACACTGAATCTTGTTGAAGTAAGGAGCTACATGATCAGGAGTAACTGAGTAAGTCGCCATTCCAATAATATCTTCATTCGACATATTCTTTGCCTTATAGAACGCCAACGCAGTTTCACCAGGAACAACGTAGACTTCTCTCTGTTGGGGAGTAAATTTCCAAGGCAAAATCCCCGACGACTGGCAGCTAAACAGTACTCTTATTCTTTTATTTGTATCAACAGGAACAACTTTGTCTGGAGTGAATAATCTCGAATCAGTCATCGGCGTTCCAGCCCATCCAGTTCTTTGACATATAGCTCGATATAGCGGCACAGCAGAATAGCCTAGTGCCAAAAAGAAAATACCCAACGATGCTGCATAGTATGCTGCTGTTCTATTTTTGAAGCGAGTCCTTTCTTCCCTTAATCGATTGGCTTCTTGAAGCTTTTTACGATAAACTTCTTTCTCATCCAAATTCTGACGAAGAATATTTCTCGTATGGAAACGGACTCTAGAAATTTTACTAAGTAATACAGAACCACTCAACTTCAGGGACCTTGGCCCTTTAAATATTCCTATTAAACCTATCATAACTCAAACTTTGACAGGTGAGGTTATAGAAAATATACACTTTTGAAATATCAGAGATTCGTACTGGTAGAAGTATTAGCCATCGCACTATTTATACACTCTGTAATAAAACTATTATTTTATTTATAGGCAAATACATCAAGAGTTAAATGATCAAACGTAATCCGTTCAATGTCAGGGGCCCTCTGAGAATCTTGCGGGTTCATTCGAGGCGTCTTTCAGAAGTCAAGTTTCCAGAAGAACAAGTTGATCCGAGTAAGCCAAAAATCAAAGAATTTAAGTATCCGTTGTTCCATACTTTTTTGATCGCATCAACGACTTACGTCTTGCTTAACTCATTATACTTGAAGTTGGAGCAAGAAGAAAAACAAAACGAGCTTTTGAAAAGAAATGAAGAGTTAGAAAATTCTATTCAGATATTAGTCAACGAAAAAGAACAAGAACTTAGAGCCAAGCAGAAGAAATGGTATTCTATATTTAATTTATGGCGTTGAATAGAATAAATTTCAAGAAAAAAAACTATATATTAAGTGAAATCTGGCGAGTGTTTACTCAAGATTATTATTTTTCTTGAAACGGCTACTGAATTTTGCAAACTTCATAGCCGCAGAATTGGAAAGAGCTGATTGCAGTTCCAAACTTTGAGCAGAAGTATTCATATTTTCCTCGTATATCGAAGAATCATCCTTTTCGCTTTCATCATGCATCTTAGAGATTAGATTCAAGCCATCTTCATATTTTAATCTATCAAAGTGTCTCATCCTATAACTTGGGTTCTTGAAATCCTCATAATTATCCAATAGTAATAAGTCAATACATTGTCTCAATTCAGTAAATGTAGTTTCAAGAGCAACGTTTTGTCCTGATGACCCTCCTGATTCCAATGAATGAAGTTCGGCCATCGATTTTTCCAAATGCTTTATGTCCAAATTGAAATTTTCTATTGCAACCCTGTTGTACCTGTCTGCATTTTTAAGGATTTCTAAGAAATGTTCTGCAACGAAGTCATATGTTCTAAACAAACCAAGGGTCCTCACGGAACTTGGCAAGTTTGAGAAAATAGATGTGAATAAATTTTCCAAAAATAAAGCAAAATCTTTGATTGAGTAGTTGGCCTCTTTGTTCCTATGCTCAGGTTCCCAATTTTCGTATTCAACTGTTTCAAGTAACTCTCTAATCTTGACATCAACCATTTTGAAAACTGCTGCTTCAGAAAATTTTTTGACATTATTGAAGTGTTCTACTGCCCGTAAAGTAAACACATAGTCATGATTAATTATTCCAACACCCATTTGCTTCCTCAAGCGATGATTTATCAATTCACCTATTCTATAAAGACTGAAGACATAGTACTCTAAGTTGGTGTAACTTTGGGCCGTGATCTCTTTGTTGTTTGAGTTCTTTTCAATAAAATCCCGTATGTCATGACTAATACCAACGCCTTTCTCGTCACCAAGCATTCGTTCAAATATATTATTAATAATAATAGAGCTTAACCCGCTCAACTCATAACTGTAATGCTGACTTACGAATTGTAAAACGTCTTCCAATAAAGATCTAATACCAAGACAATAATGAACGTAGTCTTCGCTGAATGGAAAACTGATAGGCATAGAACGTACATTTTTGGGTGCAAAAGGAGCGTCTTCTGGATACCAGCATACCCTAATGATATTGTCGTAGTCTGTTTTATCGGTTACCACAAGAGGCATGTAGTGGTCTGATTGCATCGATTCAATAAAGTCTTGTCTAAACTCAAGAACAAGCGCAGGAGCAAAATAATCCCGAAAAATTACAATCAAAACTTCATAAATATCAATTATCCTGTAGTTTTTACTTTCCATTACTAGTACAAAGTTTCCAACGATGTCTTTGAATTCCGTTAATTCTTCGATGCTTAGTTTATGTGTTTTCAAATAATTTAGTAACGTTGGCTTCAATTTGGTGATATATGATTCCCATAGATCATTTGAATTATCATTCGATCGTAATTGGTATCTGGTTGACAAATTGATTTCCTTATCCATAAGAAAGAAAGCACTTATTCTCCTTAAATATTCATTGAGTGCTACCATGTTTGGAAAATCAGCTACAAATTGAGTAGCTGCCAGAGTTATGGGATAAATAATCCGATTGTATTTCTTTAGCCATTCTTTATGGTACAAATTCGACAAAATCTCGATTTCCTTCATAGTTTGGTAAACTAAGATGGCATCATAAACTGTCGACAAGCTGAGCTGTAAGTTTTCGTCCTCAAATAATACATAATTCAAGCCAGGTTCTCTCATTGAAAGTTCAATTGGAGAGTTCACTTTATACGGAGCAAGGGTAGAATTTTTCTTTCTCATCAGATCCCATCTTTCTTGTAACTGATACAAGTTCTCCCAAACTACTTCACCTATTGCCAATAACTTACGTTCTAAGTTCAGGGATAACCACTTACATAAATTTTCGAAAGCTTCATCTTTAATCATCTTTGTCAAATGTGGAATAGAATCATAAATCTTCACGGCAAAGCTGAAATTGTCAACCTTTGGAAGATGTATGCTAGTCAATTCGTCTATTAACTTTAATGCACTGAAGTACTTTTTTTGTTTGATTAATTCGTGAATCTTGTTTGTTATCTCTAGAACTTGAGTACATAAATTTAGTGTGTCGATTGTTTCATTAATCTTATTAGTGACTTCCTTATGTTTAATTAAGTTTTTTTTGCTTGTTATGAGTTCATACACAGATTTATTAAGAGCTTGGCTAACCTGCTGAAGATACCTGTTCAAATCATACGACTCTTCGTGTATCTCATCAATATTATTTATACATGAGTCAATGTCCTGCGTTGAATCTAATGATATTTCGTTTAATTCTTCATCTTTATCTTTTACAACATCATTTAATTTACGAATCAATTCTGATAATCCATTTGTCTTTATCGCATTTTTTATGACTGGAGCCAAGCTTTCCATGTAATCTTCGGAATTGAAGGTTGATTGAAATATATCGTCGTCTCGTAATAACAAAGTTTCCAATTGCAATGATTCTACATTTAAAGATCCATTACCATTCATACTAGCCTCTGAAATTACCAGGTTCCCATTAGCGCTAGGTGGCGCCATCTTGCTTTAAAAGTTATTTTATATATCTGCTTTTTATTTTTTTACTTTATATCGAAAACATTTATTTTCACAATAGTCATAATGGACTGTACATGAGAAAAACAAAAGTCAATTACAATATAGCTTATAGTAATAAAGATGGTGCCAAATCATATATTGATATTAGGAACGCCTCATTCTGGGAAGTTGAGGATAGTTAAATTCTTGGTACCTTCAGAAGAACTTGAAGTTGGCGATGAGAGTCATAGTGGGATAATAATCAAGTCGAGCTTGAGAACTAAGTACTATGAGGTTGATCTTAAAATATTTGTTGACGAGTATCCAGAAGAGAGGAGAGGCGATATTAGTGGTGATATGAAGTTGCAACTGTTAGAGAGCTGGTACTCTGAGTTTTGTCAAGATGAAATGAAAGAATTGAGAGACGCATTTGAAGGTTTAATTTTCACAATTAATGTTGACTCTACGACGGAGGAAGTCGAGCAAAGTCTAGAATTTCTAACTAAAGTGACAGATGTTCTCAAAGGCACTAGTGACTGCTGGGATGGATTTATTTTGGTAGTCACTGCTGCCGATGATATAAATGTATCCACGAACTTAAAAATTGAAGAGATAGAAGACCTCAGCATAGCTGCCGGTTTTGAATTTATAAACTTTAGTCAATCAGGCAGAAACGAGTATCGTGAAACCATAGGAAAAGATAGGTTAAAGGAAGTCTTGGAAACACACGAATGGAGTAATATGGATGTCACGGATAACATTCATTACGAAAAGAATAAGATACAAAAGTTAAACAATATGACAGAACGTTTACTTCAAAACGACGGCGCAGAACCCCAAATGAATGATCTAAGCGATATACTTAGGAAAGTTCATGGTGCAAAGGAACACGCAGAGAAACTTAATGATTCGCAGAAAAAAGACTACGCAACTAAGATAGTTGATGATATAATGAATTATATATAGAATAAATAAATTGCATTCGAACGGTTATAATTTGGCATCCCTCAAAGTGTATTTGACTTGGAAGCCAGGCTCAAAGTAGCATTCTTGACAGTCTTCTTCCTCCACCCCATTTTCATGAATCAAGACAGCGAAGTCAATATGTGGAACATCTTCATCGATTACAATCATCGGAGCATGCCAAGTTCCAGCTCCGTAAGTGATCGATTGATTGCCTTTGCATACAAATGCTTTCAAGCTCTTTGGGTCAGGTAACTTATCTTTCGTAGTTTCATCTGTTCTAGCAACGATTACCAAGTAAGATCTCTTCTTGGACTCTTGTCCCATCGGCACGAACGCTTGTGTTGAAAATGGATGTCTCTCAAGAACCTTTGAAGTGTATATCTTACCTCCAATGTCATTGGCAATTAAATGCTTAGGTGCCTTACATCTGAAAATATTCCAATTGGCAGTAGCACTTTTTCCACTTGCACATTTATCGTAATTATTAATTATGGGAGCGACTTTGTGAACTTTGACCGCTGTGCCATAGTTAGCTGCTGAACTTTTCACGATCTTTAATTGATGATCTGCACTTATAACGCCACCATATGGAGCGAAAGCCTCGGGAGTAAGCTCATCTGCTGTTATTGAATTCAGATTAGAGACATCAAATACCTTGAGTGGCATTTTTAAAGCAGCGATTACTTAGGATAAGAGAGGTATACAAAGCTTCTTTAAGTGATTCATCGGGTTTCTGCGTCTATATTTCATATCTCCACGTGACTTATAATTAGAATTAGCAGAAGTTCACCAGAGACATTCTTACCTTGAGGAGCATGTAGAACATGTCAGAAGCTTTAAAGATGTTATGCTGATCTAGAGACATTGGATCCACCTGTCCCAAATCGAGCTGAATAAGTTGATGATAATGCCACGTATTTTTGTACTCCTAATCTTGTTCCTTATTTTGCTTCAAAATAGTATACGAGTTAGATCATTCTTAACTAGAACGCCAATACTGATCTACACAAACCAAACTCAAATCAGCTTCAATAAAGAAAAAAACCAAGAAATTCTATTTGAGCCAGGGATGCTATTGTCTTTATATGGGGCTAATAATTTTGCATCTAGAAAACTAAATCGTATTTTTTTAAACACTTAGTGCCATGTGTCAAGTTAAACATATTTATATATTTGATTCGACTTACTGGTAATATATCATGCAAGAATTATCATATTTAAAGTTAGCTAAAGTTTAGAGCTTCTACTTCTCTGTTCTTTCCTTCCTTTAATTTTTGTTTTCTTAAGCTATCTTTGGCTACTAAAGTCATAGCTAAATTACATTATCTAACAATAGATATTTCAACTTGGCATCCTCGAATTTCGTTTTCTTTTCACTTTCTCTTGGAGCCATAGTGTGTTGCAGTTATTCAGCCGTCCTTTGATTGATCACGTGACTTATTTGTTTTTATTTTCATGATAAATGATGCCTATGCTCATTTAGTGCCACCGATTAGATCGTTAGATCACCGTTGAGCCTTGAAGTTAAAATGGGCCAAAAGAGATTTCCTCCATTCAAAACTTTGGATGACGTTCGTAACAAGGACGATGACGAATCTACTGTGATTAACGCCAGCAATTTGGAATCTGAGCGAGCACACTCCGTGATGTACATTCCCGATGAAGGTAGATTTTCAAGTGAAGCAAATACTTTAATCGATGGAATGGAAGGAACTTCATCGAGCACGCTCGGGAATAGATGGAAAGCTTCAGGTCTCAATTCTTCACTTCAACAGTTGCAGTATAATGAGAACAAAGTTGCCTTGGATAGGTCTATTAAACAGACTATTGAGTTATTATATCAGCTATCGGAAGAGAATAAGGAGCGTCCCATATTTTATCCTACCGATATTGAAGACGACAGCTTACTAATGCTCAATTCAAGAAAGGCTCATATAGCTTTAATAAAAAATAAAGAAATATCGGCCAAAGCTTGGACAAAAGCGAAGATAGAGGATAAAGAAGATGATGAAATACTTCCAGAATTAAAGATTTTAAAACTCAACCTTCAAATAGACGTCTCCAAGAAGAGTAATGGCAATTTAGTGTCTAATTTGGATAAAAAATCGATAGCGAATTTGTTGGAACAGATGCTTAAACTGCAAGTAAAATATCTCAGTAATTTAAAAGACAGAATTGATGATACTTCTTCAAAAGTGTTTGTTACAGGTGATTTGAATGCAGGTAAATCAACCTTCTGTAATGCATTGTTGAGGAAGAAAGTTTTACCTGAAGATCAACAACCTTGTACATCGGTTTTCTGTGAGGTTATTGATGCAACAAAAGAGAACAAAGGAGTTGAAGAAGTTCATGCTATTCCCATTGGAAAAAAATACAACATTAGAGATGAATCATCTTATGAGATCCATCCCTTGAAAGGTTTAGAAAATCTAGTTTATGAATGTGACCGCTACAGCTTGCTAAAGGTATATGTTAAAGACAATCGCTCGTTTCAGGAAAGCTTGCTTAGTAATGGAGTAATTGACATAAAATTAATTGATGCACCTGGTTTGAATATGGATCTGTACCTGACTACTCAAGTCTTTTCAAGACAAGAAGAGATAGACTTAGTTGTTTTTGTTGTCAATTCAGAAAACCATTTCACTCTATCAGCTAAAGAATTCATTGCCGCAGCAGCTGCCGAAAAGCGCTATGTGTTTATTGTTGTTAATCGGTTCGATAACATAAATAATAAGGAGAAATGCAAAGAAAAAATTTTAGATCAAGTTAAAAGCTTGTCTCCTGACACATACAAGAATGCCGAGGAGTTCGTTCACTTTGTGAGTTCGACTGAAGCTTACAAAGGAGGACCTGACGATGACAATGATCCCGATGATGATAATGGAAACGACAAAAAGGACCCTGATTTTGATCTGTTAGAGGCCTCGTTAAGAAAATTTATACTAGATAAGCGATCTTTATCAAAGCTACTTCCAGCAAAGAGCTATTTAAAAAATATTTTATGTGACTTGGAGACTTTATCGATGATTAATGAAAAGATATATTTGAAAGAAAAAGAAGACAAGGAGGCTCAGCTAAAAGATCAAGTTGCTCCAAGATATTTAGAGATGGCTTCAAAGAGCTCCAAAATGTCGGACCATGTTAACAATGTGATTGAAAAGGCATGTGTGGATGTTTATAACTTCGCAAGAAATGACTTGATCGAGACGTTGAATGATTTTGAAGGACTGCAAGTGATTTTGTATCGTGGGTTGCAGTATGTATATGAGTATGCCAAAGAAACCCAGAAGGTAATGATTGAAACAGTTTTATCTTCGATTCAAAATAGCGAAGACAGAGCTAGGATTATTACCAGCGAAAAAGTAGATGAAATTTCCCGTATTGGAGAGGAAAGTTTAGGTTCGGAATTCATGAGTGACAAGAAATTTAATCCTGATATCATGTTTACCAAACGTCGTGACAATTTAAAGAAACTTCTCAATCGTCTGATAGAAATAGGAGACTTCTTCGATCCATCATGGGATTCTTGTTTGATGTGGCTAGGTATACCGAAGGATTATGTATCCAGCACAAAAGAGCACTTGAATTATTACAATCCTATGTCTTTGCTCCCTGCAATGCTGACTGATGTCACTTCTTTAAAAAATCAGCTTCCTACTCAATTAACGTTACATTCCATTTATTCGTCAGGGAAATTATTGACAACAGGTGTCGTTGTTCGTAAACTTTACCTGGCCTCGTATTTGTTGAATCCTTCTGTGTTGAAAAGAGTAGCAGGCCCATTATTAGTTGGTGTCACTGGCTTCACGATTTACTACTTGATTAATGATATCCCAAACGCATTTCCAAGAAAGCAAGCTCGAAAAATCAAGAAGCAGCTATTGGAGTTAGATCATCCACATCAAAATGCAAATAGGATATCGAAGGAATGCAGAAAGGTACTAAATTATCCGGCACGCCAAGTGATGAACAACTTTCAGACGAGTATTGATAAGAGGTTGGTTGAAAAAAAGCAACTTGAGAAGGATCTTCAAGATTCCAATAAAAGTTTTGGATACTTTCATGACTTCTTATTGAAAATTGAATATCAAAGAAATTTGCTCGAACAAATTGACCTTGAGAATGTTAATATTGTTGATTAAATATATCGTTAAGGTTTTTTGTATATAGTTTTAAAGTGCATTTAATTTAATCTAAATTGTTTAGTATACATTATGGCTTTGGCGTAATTATTTTCTTCTTTGCATATAAATCAACAATACAGAAACCACCATAGCGACGAAACATAATGCAAAGCCTAATTCAAAAGCTCCTTTATAACAAGCTTTTCCTTCAAAACAGATTCCTGTTTTCGAATCAGAATGACTATCATAGATGAACCCGAGGTACTTGTTTAAAAAATATAATGTCATTAAGGGTCCAGTGCAAATTAAACCCCATGTCGTTGAAAATGACCTAGTTCCAAACTTATCAGCCATTATAGCTGGATAAGTCCCAAAAATTAATCCGTAACTGCCCCCTGTAAGTGCCGAAGCTAAACTTACTAAATTATAATTGTTTGAATTAAAAGCCATAATAAATTGGCCACAAGCAAGAATGATTAAAGTGAAAAGCACAATCCACAACCTTTGAATATGAAACTTCACATATAGTAAATCTGATAAAAAACCTGAACAGAACCTTCCCAAAAATGATGCGACTGATATAATGGAGACCTGGACGGCTTGCAAAGAAGCTGGTCCCGGTTCAGAACCAAATATATGTGAAATTGTATTTTTTGTGACTTCAGGAACTCTATCATGATAATATTGAGCAGTAACAACAAATCCGATAGAATAGATATACGTTTGTCCAATTCCACTGGCTATAGATACTTGTATATAATGTATTAGAAAAAGTTTACTTCTAAGCAACTTTTTGATTATTTGCCAAGGTGTTTTTTTATTTTTAGTAATAGGTTTTTTGACACTTGGCTGTTTTAAGTTTATGGGTGGATTCTTTAATAAACTCGTAGATGAATTGTGTCTCAGAGATACAGGATTAGAGAGTCTATCCAGATCGCTAGGTTCATTTTGCTCTCTCAAAGCCTGTACTATTGATGGCACATCTGAATAATCTGAACTAATTGACAGTCTAGGTGTTCGTCTTCCGATACCCCAAAATGAAAAAGAACCTTTAAAAGAATCAGATCTTCTAGTATCTCCTTCACTAGAGTCATTATACGGTCCATCACTATCATCGATAACTTCAGAATTTGATCGAAGAAGTTGGCTCTCTTCATCCACTAGTCTATGTTCGTCTTCTCCGTCTTCATGATTCATGTAGATGTGAACAAAAAAGCTTCCAAGAAATATCGCCAAACCACAGAAGAAAGAAAGAAATCTAAGTAAACCACCTGTGTCGTTACTGTATGCCGCGTGTGTGATAAAAGAAAATACAGTGGCTGATAGACCGTATGCACTAACAGGAAAAGCACCAGCAGCTCCTCTGTTGTTAGGAAAGTTGGACTGAGAAGCTTTTAATGTCGCAAAGTAAGATAACACTGAGCCAAAACCTACCAAGGTCATTGAAGCACATATTGCGGCTAAGGCAGCGACTTCATTTCGGTAGATTTTGTATAAACCATAATAACCTGTAAATATACAAATGGATCCCATAAGGATCGACAATTGGGGACCTTGATGGTCTATGATTACTCCTGCCGGCAAACCTCCAAACCCAGTTCCAACGTTAGTTGCTAATGAAATCGTTGCGGAGTCTGATGCTGTAAGTCCAATTTTTTGAATCAACTGCGGAGCATAGATCCCGTAGAGATAAGGAGTACCCGACGCTAATGCGATAAAAACTGATGCTATTAACGCTATTAATCGCAATGGAAAGTGATTGCTAGATGACAACCTATTATTCATGACCTGTGCAAATTAGATAGGCTTCAAGCTATTTTTTAGATATAATATAATGTTTTTGGCATAGTTAGCTCTCGTGAGAATAAGGAAATCTCTTATTCTTTGATAAGACTACTTCTGTGCAAGATCGAAATTTCATTTCTAGTGAAATTTTCAGATCGGATTTTTTGTCCCTAATGAGACTAGATACATTCTCATTTGGCTAGAACGAAGAGAGCCTTGAACAAATATGGGGAGAATGAACAGGACAGAGTTCATCACTGAGCTCACTAGCATATTACAAAATAATGAAGGTAAATCATCAGTTTACTTGACACAAAAGAGACTTTCCGATGCATTATTAGTGGACGACGAAACCAGCATTCACGATCTATCTTCAAATGTAATCAGTGAAAACAATGAGTTCAAAGAAAACACGGAGAAGTATTCAATATTGATAAGGGTTTCGATGAATACAAAAGCTAAAAAGCAGCCTAAAGTAAAGTTGTCAACGGTGGTTGATGTAGACAATTTGGAAGTTTTTTGGAATGAATATTCTCAAGCTTTGAAGGCAGGCTTTATGGGACTAAAGAAAAAGGAAAAGAAGAAAGTAAAGAAAAGTAAAATTTCAAAATAAAATGATAATAATCAATTGTTTACTATTCATCAATCGTCATATTATATAGCTTTTGTATTATTTCATATTAATTTCAAGTACAGATTTCGAAAGCATCTTCTCTCAAATATTCTCGGCTATCACTAAACCGTTTGGATATATACATTTAACATCTTTAATTTTGCAATCTATAAAGTCGTTTAAAGTAGAACGTGGAGGCAATGGCGTTATTAATTTAAAATTGAAGTCAGGTTCAAAGCCCTTAAATTCTTCCTCTGCTTGCTGGTCCGATAGAGAGCTCGAAATTTCCTTGTCAAAATATCCTTCATTCAATAACTCGACGTAAGTGAATATATCCTCAACTTTACTTTCAGCAGGAAAATAAAAAGTTACGCGAGACCCACTTTGTAGCTTAATCGCTATTTTTGCCATCCCTTCAGTAATTTCCTCATTCAAATTGTTAAAGTACTCCAACTTATATGCCAAAAATTTTTTTTTCATCTTTTCTTGTAGCTTTTTTTGGGCCTTAACCCTATCTTTCTCTAATGATGCACGATAGTTGAGATCTTGCTGTTTCAAGAGAACTTGGCTCATAAAACTTTCCTTCAACTGATTTCTTATCAGAGACAACTCCGCATCATATTTTCTTATCTTCTTTTTGAATTTAAGCTCAATCAATGCATTTGGATCGACGTCTGGACCAAGTCCTCCTTGAATCTTCAGCACCAATGTTATTTTTGGTGAAGTCTTGACAGGGCCGTCTGGTGTCATCCTTGTCGTTCGAGTCAAGAACACTAAACCCAAAAATGGAAATTTAGTAACACCAAAGCTGTTTGCCAATTGATATGCTTCGGAGTTAGTTAGATCACCACCCCATATAAGAAGATTCTGATTATTTGAAAACATGTTAATAAATTCAGGGTTAGCTATAACTTTGTCGAATATTAGAGAGGAACTTTCATTTTGTGGATTAGAGAGATAAACAAATAGAAACTTAGCTCTATTCGTCGCCATGTAAAGCGCTTGAGTATAGCTTCCCTCAAAAAATGGTGGCAAGGAGTTTCCAGAACGCAAATTCTCTGGGCTCAAGTTATCCTCCAATTCTCTTATGAATTTGTTAACTTTATCAATAGGATCATTGCCTTGGTTGTATCCAGTTTGTATCAATGAAGTACGCCTGTTATTCCTTTCTTTAAAGTATATCATATTGAAAAATCTCCCTAGAACTCTCAAGCTTATCGCTAATATCAAAGCTATAGGTTTTATAATCAAATAAATTATCCAATCTAATAAAGTCAACAGGTACTTGCTTAGTCGTTGTGAGTTAAAAAAGTTTCTATTCGTATCTTGTGCCACTCCTTCATTCTCTGGATATGCACCCGGAAAAGTTTGACTATGACCATCATTATTGAGAGGTTCATAGCTAGGAAAACCAAAGAATTCTCGGATTCTACTGGAAATATCTGACATGATCTCAAAAAAAATTCCTTCAAAAGTATATTAAATGTAAAAGGAGTTTATAATGCTAACTAATTGACTATCATCAATAAATAATTGTCGCAGAAAATAAAGTAGAATGTATCTTACAATTAGAAAACTTTAAGAGTACTGTGAGACACTTGACAAGTCAGCTGATTAAGGATGAGGGGCGTGATAGAATGTGGTATGTTTCGAATGTGTTGCAAATGATGGTATAGAAATATATATAGGATAGGAGGAATGTGAAAACATTTCCAGCGATGAATAAACTAGTTAAGATTATACGTACTTGTGAACCAACGGATTTAGACGTAGACCCTTAGATAAGTACGCTTAGCTCACAACTGGTAGCGTTGCAAACAAAACAATACTATAACTAGTATGGAAACTGATCAGATTTTAGCGGAAGTGAATAAGTTACGATGGTAAGGGCATCGAAAATGCCATACGCTTTATTAGGACTCACGAGAGAGTCTATAATGGGTTGAAGTCGTTTGGAAATAGTAACTGGAGTAAGGCCTACGTAAACGTAGTGTCAGTGATATTATTGGGGATGTACGAGTTGATATACGTTAATTGGTTATCATTCACTCCACCATTCGTAGTGTTGACATCGCTACCAGCAAATGTCGCACCGCCAATGAATGGGTTAAAGCAATCCTCAGGTGGCGAATCACCCTCTGAATACAATACCATGAACTTGTACTTAGTGTTTACAGGTCTTATAGCCAGCCTGGTTTCACTACCGTTAAGTGTTTTCTTGGGTTCGCTGAAATAGACCACTAACTCAGTATCTTCTAGGCATACTGTCACGTTCGACCATATGTTATCTACAGCTGATGATAACTCATTATACCAACTAGTCAATACTGCTCTATTCAAAGTGGTCCCGCGAATGTAGCTACTACAAGACACTGCTGTAAAAACAAATTGTAAACTTAAAAATAAATGAAACAACCTAAAGAAGCCTAACATAGTTCGGGTTCTTACGTGGTTTAATTATAGTTGACGTTGAAATATTTCGAATATTGAAAACATGTTTGTCGACGTTTTTTTGGGTGCTGAGTACGCAAAACTGTAGACAAGAGAACCATGTGATTATACAATTATACCTGGCCAAGGTATCAACGGTAGCTCTGAACACTGCGGCAGGTGGTCGTTTCAAGTTCGAAGTGCACATAGACTGCCGAATTACGTAAATCCGACTGAGGTTTATACAGTGTGATTGTTCATGAGTTATCTTTGTATTTGTATAGATGTAAAGAGAGGATTTCTCGTATTTCGCACACCTCAAGTATAATAGGTTTCATGTGAATTACGATTCAGAAGTCGCTTGCACAGTACTTTTATCACAGAATTACATTTATCAATGAATAAGCTTGAGTGATTGGCTGGACAACTGATGTCATATAATGATTTTATTATGAGGATATTAAAACATATGCGATGACCAGTGGGTATGAAGAGTAGAAGAGCCATTATATTACAAGTAGAGATTTGTAAGATTTAGTACCAGTAAGGTTAAAGTAACTCCATATAGATGTTCGCTTAAACTATACGAAATGTGAGGTTTATAGGGAGTTCTAAATAGTTGTTCTAAAGGGCTACTATCGTACTTAGGTGATTCCTGATGAATACTTGACTACTCTAAGCTTATGTACAGTGAGCTACTACTTAGAATCCCTAGTAGAATGTAATCTTCTACTATTGGGAGTATCTCGCGCTTATATACTTTTGCAACACTGTTTCAGAGCTGTTTTGCAACACTCTTCACATTGTGTATACTTATAAGACTGATCCCTTACACTACTTGACCAGTCAGCTCATTAAGGATGAGGGGCGTGATAGAATGTGGTATGTTTCGAATGTATTGCAAATGATGAAATAGAAATATATATAGGATAGGAGGAATGTGAAAACATTCCCAGGGATGAAAAAACTAGTTAAGATTATACGTACTTGTAAACAAACGGATTTAGACGTAGTCCCTTATATAAGTACGCTTAGCTCAGAAGTACTGTGAGGTTTATAGGGAGTTCTAAATAGTTGTTTTAAAGGGCTACTATCGTACTTAGGTGATTTCTTATGAATACTTGACTACTCTAAGCTTGTGTATAGTGTGCTACTACTTAGAATCCCTAATAGAATGTTATATT